CTCCGCAGTGCTCCAGCACCCCGAGTTCCCTCTTCTGTGGGGGAGCGGACTCTCCCCAGGAGCTGTGGTCAGGGAGCAGTGGTGGGTCGTGGCCGGGAGGAAGGCTACCAAGTGTGTGTCTTGGTGTTCCCCTGCCTGTCTTCTCACCGCCAGCTCCAGCCAGGAAGCTGCCCCCCAAGAGAGCAGAGGGCGACATTAAGCCGTACTCCTCAAGTGACCGAGAATGTAAGGCGGTCGGGTGCCCGGCGTGGGGGGGCGGGGTGCCCCACCTCGGGAAGGGTCCGCTCTCTCTAAAGGCTCTGCTTTCTCATTTCTACCCTGATCTCTACTGTCATGGCTCCTCTCTTCCCAGTTCTGAAGGTAGCTGTGGAGCCTCCCTGGCCCCTCAACAGAGCCCCGCGCCGGGCTACACCCCCAGCCCACCCCCCACGCTCCAGCAGCCTGGGAAGCTCGCCGGAACGAGGTCCCCTCCGCCCCTTTGTGCCAGAGCAGGAGCTGCTGCGTTCCCTGCGCCTCTGCCCCCCTCACCCGACTGCCCGCCTTCTGCTGGCCACCGACCCTGCAGCCAGCCCAGCCCAGCGCCGCCGCACCAGGTGATGGCAGTGGGAGGGTCAGCGTTAGAAATGGAAAGGGTGGTTTGGGCCCAGGCGTGACACAGCAGGACAGCAGGCTGGGAGACACTGGAGGTGTGTGGGAGGTCTGGGGGTGCATGGCAGTGAGGGGGCAGAACAGGACTGTCTATGGCACTGGGGCCCCGTTTTACAGTGAGAGTGGGAGGAAGAACCCAGATCCGTGGGGGGTGTGAGCCCCTAAGTTGGGGAAATGCTGGTGTGGTTCTTGCTGGGAAGGAGCAGTGGCGTCTGGTATAGGTGGGGGCCCTGGCCCACGAGTGTGTGTGCGCGGCAGGAGCCATCCCGCAGCCGGAGGGGCATCTCCTGTCTCCCCCAGCTCTCTCCACCTCTGACTTCGTTTTTCTCTCTTCCCCCTTTTCCCTCTCCCTACCTCCTGTCCATGCCGTCCTCCCACAGCTCCCTTCCCCGCTCTGAGGAGAGTCGCTACTGACAGTTAACCCTCTGCCCTCCGGGAGCCTCGTCCCCGAGAACCCACCCCTTCTCGTCCAGTGCGTCCCCCAGAACCCCGAGGAGCCTGACGCAGCCCATGAGACTCCCTCTTCTCCTTTCTGGGTTGTCAAGGCCCCGGATGGCCCACTGCTTTGTAGCTTTCCTTGCCCTAGAAGCACCTCCTCTCCCAACGCGGTCACTGAGCACTCCCCACAGACAGCGGAGACGCTGCCACCCTGGCCGTGCAGCTCCTCCACATTGTCCAGAGCAGCACACCCTGGCTCGCTGTCGGACTCTAGACCACCATGGAGGCCCGACGGCCTTCGCTGCAGGGTCTTGTCCCTGGAACAAATCCGTAGCTCACTCTCCAGTCCAATGATGGCCTTCGTGCTGCCACCTACACTGCCTTTCAGCCCACTCATGCCAGCCAGCGAGGTCGCTTCGGAGCAGTCCAGGTGGCTAGGACAGGGACTTACAGCTCCTTAAAGGGACCCCCCAACATTGCTAAGCTCTTCATTACATGTGTGTATGTCAGGGACCCCTGAGCTGTTGTCTGCTTTGGGACTAGACTCACACTTCTGAAGACAGCACTACCCGCCAGGCCAGATTTTGTGAGGGACTTCGTTTCTTGGCAGCACCTGGGGTCAAAGAGGGGTCGCCTTTGTAAGGTTTCACAAGAGAAGCCTGAGTCTCAAGGGCCTGTTAGCTCCCGGCTCCGTCCTCCCCCAGCAGCTAGATTGTCGTGATGATGGGAACTTTTCTCTGGTCTTCCTTTCTTCCCTGCTCCTTCCTCTGTGTGTGGTAGATCAGGCACCCCCTGGTGCTCCCCCAAATCCTTGGGAGCAGGATCTCCCTTTCTCCCTACTCATTTCTCCTTTTTTCTCCCTCTCAGTGTTGTTTGAATAAAATGTGAATTCCTTTGTGTTTTTTAAATGGACATTTTCAATGAAAAAGCACACCCCAAAAAGCAACTTAAGGTCTCGGCCTCCTTTGTGTCACCTCTTATTTTCCTGGGCCTGGGAGTCTGTCCCGCGTGTCATCCTTATTGCTGAGATCTGCATGTCTTCTAGCACGGAGGCTCCGAGCTCCCTGCAGGGTCTAGTGTCCACCCTCCCCATGGCACTGCTGGATCTTCTCCTGCCCATCTCTCTCCCCTCATGCAGCTGCTGGGTCCCTCTGCAGAGGCTTCTGTGTGTACTTCCCCACTCCCCCCAGAGCCCTCGGGCTCTCCCCGTGACCCTACCCTTCACCCAGGCCAGCCCTTGCTGAGATGTCAAGGTTCACCATTATCCCTGGGACCCTCGAGTTGCATCCCTATAGCAATCCCCTAATGGTCCCGGGTTCCTCTTCCATTCTGGTTTCCTTCTCCCCCACCAAACCCTGGCCCCTCTCCCAACACAGTCCCTTACCTCTGCTGAGTGCCCAACACAGTCTGTCACCTCTCTTCAAAGGCTCCCTCCCTTTTCTTCCTAAATCACTTGGCCACTCCCTGTAAGTAAGGTAACTGTTTTCCAAACCAAACATCTGGGCACCAGGTCCAACAGATGGTTTACCTATGTGTAAGTCTGTTTTTGTGAGATGATTTGCATCACAAATATTAACACATTACTCCAACTAGAAACAGAAAAGCAATAAATCAGGATTGCTCCAGAAAATCTTTGGGGTATAAAATGAGCTCCCTCCCCTTTTCTGGGGCCCTGCTTAGGTTAAAACCCCTAGAAGTCTAATTGCCCCTCTCTGCACTCCTGTGCTATTCGTTTATTCCCCTCCTCTGATTCCTCCACACCCACTCACCTTCCCCCCTGCAGCCTCTTCCCCATCGCCTGCCATTTCTCCTACAGGGGGGCTCCCCCAGGGCTGGTAGCCCAGAGCTGCTGCTACAGCCGCTATGGGGGGCTGAATTCCTCATCCCCCAGCACCGGTAAGTATTCTTCCCTCCTTGCCCTCAAATCAAGCAGGTCATGCTCACCGCCTGCTCCAGCCTTCCCATGCACATGCCTGGTATTTCCGCAGGCAACCAAGAATGGAAGCAGGGGGAACAGGAAACAGAGAATAGGTGAGGCCTGATCCCCTCCCCTCCTGGCCTGCCCACACCTCTGTCTCTTTTCCTAACATCACTCTCAGCTCCTTCCTCTGAAATCTTATCCGTCCAACACTAACATCCTACAAGCCTGTTTCCCCATAAATTCAACTCTGCTACTTCCCTTGGGCACTTTTTGAGGTTTCCAGTTTGGACACAGCACCAGTGGTTCCATCATGGTCGTCCTCTACATAAGGGCCAGAAAGACCCTGACTCTCCATCTCCCTCTCACCCACCAGGGCCGCCAGCCAGGAGACCTTGTCACAGGATGGGAGTGGGGAGGCCCCCATGCACACAGTGCCTCCACAGGCCCAGGCCCCCGCCCCCCCAGCCCAGCACTGCACAGTGGCGGGGGACATGTTCAACGCCAGATTCATTCGCAACTTGCAGGAACGGCGCAGCACCAGGCCGTGGTGACTGCAGCCCCGCCACACCTGCAGTCCTCCTCTCCCTGCGGGAGCAGCCACCGCCGCCTTCCCGTGCCTGTATTCATTCACTCGTTCATTCATTCAACAGGCCTTCTTAGCAGTGCCCAACCATTTCTATCCTCACCAAAGCAATAAAGTATTTTTATCACGAGAGCTACTGAGAAACCTGTCGTTATTTCAATCTCACCCTCCTCGCCCAGCATCTTGCGCAAGCGCCCGGGGTGGCGCGAAGCCGGCGGCCGCTGGCTTACTGCGCAGGCGCGCTAAGGCAGGCTCCGGTCGCCGGCGCAGGCGCACTGACGGCAGACCAGCGCCTCGCCGCTTCGCCAGACCTGCCGCAGTGCGCAGGCGCGCATCGTCTCCGTTTCTCTCTCCGCCGCCCTGACCCCCTCCTTTCCCCTTCAAGGAGCCGGCGGCGGGGCGCGCCCACCCCGC